TCTGCAGGGGGTGATCTTTGCTCTTTTCCTGAGAAATAACAATACTGTTTTAACAAACATTTGACATAAATATCGTACTCGTGCACACACACACACACACAGATGGGTAGTAAGACACATCTAAAGGTGCCTTCATCAATAAATAGAATTCTATTGTAACACAGAATTCAGTTATCAAGACAAATAACCAGAAAAAGGTTGGTTTACTTCTTGCTTATATTAGGGCTTCCTTTTATTTTCATACATTTTCTTATTAAACTATCTTCAAGAGTAGGGATTTCTATTTCTGTTGACACTTACCTAATAGCTTTTTCACTATATGTATCATATGTCCCTATACCTTCAGATGTTTTAGATTTTTAAACGTGAGTTTTAAATAAACCTAATTTGCTCATCCTTGATTAGGAATTCCCCAAAATGGCTCTCAAATGGAATTCAGTTTGCCTCAATATACATTTACTAAGCTTATAATATCCCCTAAAAAAAAAAAAGCAAAACAAAAAACTGTAACAAAAGCAAAGCAGACATATGGAGGAGACAGAAATGTGTATAAATTTTGATAAAAGGCAAACTGATACCAATGCTAATTGGGATTATACAGGAATAAACCATTAACTTTTAAAATTGAAGCATAACTGCATTGCATTTAGTCAAATGCAGTGTTTACAAGTCAATGAATTTTTAGAAATAAACTTGCCAATCAATATATAGAAACTATCTACTAACTCCCCTTGTGCCCCTTTCTAGTCAATCTTCTTCCAAGCTCAAGGGAACAACTACTTTGATTTCTATTCCCACAGCTTAGTTTTGACCTTCATATTGAATTGTACGATATCTAACTCTTTTGTGTCTGCCTTCTTTCACTCAACATATTTTTAAGATTCACCCAGGCTGTGTGCAGTGGCTCATGCCTATAATTCCAGCACTTTGGGAGGCCAAGGCAGGCAGATCATGAGGTTGGGAGTTTGAGAACAGCCTGAAAAACATGGTGAAACTCTGTCTCTACTAAAAATACAAAAAATTAGCCGGGTGTGGTGGTGCGTGCCTGTAGTCCCAGCTACTCAGGAGGCTGAGGCAGGAGAATCACTTGAACCTGGGAGGCGGAGGTTGCAGTGAGCTGAGATCACACCACTGCACTCCAGCCTGGGCAATGGAGCGAGACTCTATCTCAAAACAAAAAAAAATTCACCCAGGCTGTAGTGTGTATCAACAGTATGTATCACTCTGAGTAGTATATCACAACTTACATTTTTCTGTTGATGAATATTTGGGTTGTTTTTGACATTTTTAATAAACTAGTCATTAATTCTAATTGAGCAAAATATTTTCCCCTAATAGGATGTGATATTTGAAATATCTTAAGAAATTTCTTATTCATAAACAAAGCTGAACCAAGTGTAACTTAATGCTTGTTCAAAGGCCTCTTCACGGCAGTAGCAATAAATCAAATACAGGTTTTAAAAATAGCTACTCTTGGCTGGGGGTGGTGGCTCATGCCTATAATCCCAGCACTTTGGGAGGCTGAGGCGGGTGGATTACGAGGTCAAGAGATTGAGACCATCTTGGTCAACATGGTGAAACCCTGTCTCTACCAAAAATACAAAAATTAGCTGGGCATGGTGGCACACACCTGTAGTCCCAGCTACTCAGGAGGCTGAGGCAGGAAAATTGCTTGAACCCAGGAGGCGGAGGTTGCAGTGAGCTGGGATCCCGCCACTGCACTCCAGCCTGGGTAACAAGAGCGAAACTCTGTCTCAAAAAAAAAGCTACTCTTTTTTGCTCCTTTAATTCCAGTCTGATATATACAACTCACATATACAATTACATAAATTGTGATTTCTCTTAGCTCAGGAAGGCAAGAAGTGATGACAGCATTATGGGTGTGTGTCATTTATTTTCAAGCAGAGACTTGAGTAAAGGAAGGCATGACCTAAACTTTGCTTTGTAGTAAAATGCTTCTTATCTTTGGGTGGATATAACTTTCTGATGCCAAAGGATTCCGTTTCCATGCCAATCTAGGTGAGAAAAGGCAGAAACTAACCTTATTTATCATTCTCTGACTAACATTGTGAACAGTGAGAAAAGAAAACTATAGTAATAATTTTGTTTCTTTTTTAGAATGTTATTTCACAACCTCGCTGGAATGTGGGAAGTGAAGTATCCAAAAGCTTCAAGCAAAAATAGAAAGTACAGGCAAGGTTCACATAATAATTCAATCTTCATTGTAGGTTTGAAGGTTCTTTGCATATAAATTTCTTCACAAAGATAACGATTTTAAAGTATCCTATATCTGGCTTTTATTTAAGGTCAATTAAGTAACCAGTATATGAAAGTCTTTGTACCTTTCCACAAAACTGTTGTTAAAACTGTATTCTGGGTCAGATTATTATTATTATTTTTTGAGACAGTCTCAGTCTGTTGCCAGGCTGGAGTGCAATGGCGCGATCTCGGCTCACTGCAACCTCTGCCCGCTGAGTTCAAGCATTTCTACTGCCTCAGCCTCCTGAGGAGCTGGGACTACAGGCGCCTGCCACCACACCCAGCTAATTTTTATATTTTTAGTTGAGATTGGGTTTCACCATATTGGCCAGGCTGGTCTTGAACTCCTGACCTTGTGATCTACTCACTTCGGCCTCCTAAAGTGTTGGGAGTACAGGCGTGAGCCACCATGCCCAGCTGGATTATTTTTTTCTTGAGACTGGGACTACAGATGAGGTCTCACTACCTTGCCAAGGTGGGTCTTGAACTCCTTGGCTCAAGGAATCCTCCTGCTCGACCTCCCAGAGTACTGGAATTACAGGTGTGAGCCACTCCATGTTGCCCAGATTATTTTTAAACTGGGGTCCTCAGGTCCCCAGGGTTAAGAGATATATACTTGACAGTTTGGTAGTCCTATAAAAATGTTTTGGTTTAATTCTGTGTTTCATTTCAGTAATTGCTTAAAAACAATATTTTCCCAGTCATTAAATTAAAACTTCTTTGGCAGTGATAATTCATAACCATATTTTCCTGAAATAGGATTTTGGTTTCTTAAAAGCTTTTTTATTGTGGTAAAATATATGTAACATAAAACATGCCATTTTAACCTTTTTTTTTTTTTGAGATGGAGTTTCGCTCTTTTCACCCAGGCTGGAGTGCAATGGCGCGATCTCGGCTCACCGAAACCTCCGACTCCTGGGTTCAGGCAATTCTCCTGTCTCAGCCTCCTGAGTAGCTGGGATTATAGGCACGTGCTACCGTGCCCAGCTAATTTTTTGTATTTTTAGTAGAGACGGGGTTTCACCATGTTGACCAGAATGGTCTCGATCTCTTGACCTCGTGATCCACCCGCCTCGGCCTCCCAAAGTGCTGGGATTACAGGCTTGAGCCACTGCGCCTGGCCCATTTTAACCATATTTAAGTGTATACTTCAGTGGCGTTAAGTACACTTACATTGTTCTTTAGATTTTAATTTCTTACAGTGGAATTCTCAAAAGTATTTGCCAAGTTTCAAAGGAATTTTCTTTTCCTTTAAAAAGGGTTTGTATACTACTCAAGGCTATGAACCACTATTCAAGGTAATAAATTCCTTTTACAATATAGAATTCTTCTCTTGATAAACTGAGTATTCTTTCGTTAGATAATGGGAATGATATACACCCTTATGGCTTTTCCCCTTTGTAAAACCTGTAAATGCAGAACAAAATTCAGTGTTTAACTGTGTAACCATTTTCCCTGTTCCTCACATAATTATTTGCCCATCTATTTCTTATTGTTCTTTAATTATAGATTTCTCTTTTTTACATGGTTTGTGTTGTATCTTGCTTCAATTTTTTTTTTTTTTTTTTTTTTTTGAGATGGAGTCTTGCTTTGTGGCCCAGGCTGGAGTGCAGTGGCGCGACCTTGGCTCACAGCAACCTTTGCCTCCCAGGTTCAAGTGATTCTCCTGCCTCAGCCTCTGAAGCATGGCTGGCTAATTTTTTATTTTTACTAGAGACAGGTTTCACCGTGTTGCCAGGCTGATCTTGAACTCCTGAGCTCAGGTGATCCGCTCGCCTCGGCCTCCCAAAGTTCTGGGATTACAGCCATGAGCCACCGCGCCAGGTCAAATTCTTCTTAGGAATTAGGTATTATGTAAGTTTCAAATGTACTCAGAAAATTCTCATAATAAATTGTAGACTAAATAAATATAGCAGAATTTAGTCTAAATTATAGGAACTCCTTTTTTGATAACTAATATTTTTAAAGTACTTGCTATGTGCTAACACACTGTGCTAATAACTTTACTGTGATTTATCTAGTAATACCCTATGATGTAGGTACTGTATCACCGCACTTTAAGGGGTTCAAAGAAATGAAGAAACTTTCACAATGTCATGAAGTGGTCCTGCTAAGATTTAAGCCTGGCTGAATCCAAAGCTCAGGCTTCTAACCACAATGTGTACTGCTTCTCACACTGCACATTCTATTTTACATTATTGGTAGTTTCTCTACGAGGTTCTCTGTGGGAATGTTCACTGCCCTCCCCCTGCCCCGCTCCGAAGTGGAACCCTGTCTTCTAACAAACTCTGCTGTTCCACGGTCTCCTGTCATGTTCGGCCTCTTAGTGGAGTCCCAGCCCACACTCCGACTCTGGTCCCTGAACAGAGCCCTTTCCCCTCACACCCTGGTCCCCTGGCAGAGCCTAGTCTCCTCAGACCCTCTTCTCCCAGCAGGGCCCAAACTCCTCACTCCAACGATTCCCCCAGAGTTCCGTTCCCTCAGACTCTGCTTTTACAGCAAAGCTGCGTTTCCTATACTCCAGAAGAGAGCAATACCCACTTGGCAAACATCTGCAGAGACGTCTTTCTCACAAAGGTCCTAGCCAAGCCCCTAATTAAGGACACCTCTGTACCTTTCCCGTTCCCAACCTTCTCCCACAACTGTGCTTTCCCCCGCCCTATTCCCTTCTTCGGTTTAATTCTCCTCAACCTCTCCACCATTCCGTAGCCCAGTTTTAGGATTCCCCCCTGAAAACTCACCCACCGCCCTGCGTCCTCAAAGTTGCGTTCTCAAACAGGGCTCGGTGCTTTCCCCCACACTTCGGCTCTCAGCAGAGCTCCAGGCTCTGCACTCCCCTACTGCCTTCCCAGAATACGCCTTGCAGCGGTTCGGCGCCCGAAGCCCCGCCCCCTCTGCATCCATTGGCCATTATTCTCGAGAAGCCCCGCCCCTCAAGCTTTCAGCCCGCCTCCCCGCCCCTCTTCCCTTGTTTTCATTCCCCCTGTCACACGAGGCAGTGGCAAACCCTAAGGGGAGGGGAGAAAGGGGCGGAAAGAGGGCGGAGAGTGAAAGGCGCAGAGGGCCTCTCTGTCTCCCGTCTGACTCAGTTCTCGACTGCTCCGGACCGCCGATGTATTGTGGGATCGCGGCGCCGTCCCTGAGACGCTGATGTCTGCAGGGGACCCCACTTGAGAGCGCCTCCTGTCGTCCGTAAGGCTGCCCTGCCATCCCTCGGCACCCCAACTCCCCCCGCCCCCCATCGCCTCCTCCTCCATCCTCCAGTTCAAAATGGCGACGGCGGCGGCAGCGGCGGCGGCGATGGCTCCTCCGGGCTGCCCGGGTTCGTGCCCCAACTTCGCCGTAGTCTGCTCCTTCTTGGAGCGCTACGGGCCGCTGCTAGACCTGCCTGAGTTGCCGTTCCCTGAGCTGGAGCGGGTGCTGCAGGCGCCGCCGCCGGACGTCGGCAACGGAGAAGGTAAGCGAAGGGCCCGAACGCCCGGCGGGAAGCGGCCCTGGCGCGCTCCTACTCCCTGCTCTTCACAGACGCCCCGGGTCTTCGCGGCTCGGGCCTCCGCGGCTGTGTCCTCCCCCTAGGACGCAACTCCGCGGGGCTGGTCTTCTTCGCCCGGCCCCCGGGGTCTGGGGCAGTGGGGAGGCGGGGCGGAGGCCCCCTAGGGCCACTCGGCCGGGCGGGGAGCGGAGGTGGGGGCGTTGCGGGCTAGGTGTGGGCTGGGTGCGGGGAGGGATTATTGTGCCGGTCGGCATCCCCGGGGGCTGCTTCTCCGCGGCGGAGGCCGGCCCCCCCACCCCATCTCCCCCTTGGCGGCGGGGGAAGGGGAGCGCAGGTTCCGGCCAGCTTTGCGCTTTTCTCCTCCTCCCCACCCTTACTGCCTCCCCTCCTCCCACCAATCTTCCCTACAGTCTCGAGGAAGGTTGGGCTCCGCAGCTCCGGACACCTCCTTATCTCCCTTCACCTGGGTGGGCGGGGGCCAGCGGACACCCAACTCTCCCTTCCTCTGTTGGGAACTCCCCCGAGAGATTTGTCCCTTTTCCCTTCCCTTCGAGGGCTGGTTTAACCCCCAAAACTCCTTCCTTCGAGTGGGGAGGTCTGCTCCTCCCCCACGGGAGGGGATTCTTCTCCATTCTCGGTAGGGGGGGCGAAGTCGGTTCAGCTCCACTTTGGAGAGGAGAGGGTTAATTCCTCCTCCATAGTTTTTCTCCTTCCTCTCCCCACATCCTCCAAAATAATAGACGAGCATCTCCCCACTTTTCCAATCCCTTCCCCCTTTATCCTGGCAGCCGGGCATAGGGGAAGAAGTCGTCTCCCTCTCGTTTGCGGGGTAGGGTGGGGTGTTAGTATGTAGGCTGGAGGAGGGGCTCTGACGGAGGGGGAAACAGTTGAAGAAGGTGCTTGTTGCTCATGTTTCTCTCTGGTGCCGCTGGTCTATTATTGGTGTTCGCAAGTGGTGCTCCTTCCACATAAGGCCACCGCGCGGGTGCAGGGCGCATGCTCTGCCCGGCCCCATTGAAACTTCCTGCTGCTGCTGCTGGTTCTTTTGCTGGAGCATCTCAGCGCTGCGCCTCCTGCCTCCAGCCTTCACACTGAGAGCTTATACTTACCCCCATTTATTCCCAATCCCTGCCTCTCCTTTTCTGGCACACTTCTTTCCTCAGAGAAGGCTTTTTTGTTATACTCTGAGCATTGCCTTTATCTGGAAACAGCCCTTGGCTGGAGAAGAAACATTTTCCAAATAGGTCTCTTTTTTTGTCCTTATTAGCTGGGCAAAGTGGACTGGGTATTGTACAAGACAGATAGCTGTTTCCTTTCCAAGAAAGCAGGGTCGCTCTTCTATTCTCTATGTAAATGAAGAAGTTTCTGTTAACTGAATTTATTTGCATTGCTAGGAAGCGCCAAATATGAAGTTCTTCAGAGTATTACCTATTAAAAAATCTGTATGTTGTTATGGCTACCGAAGACTCAAATTAATATAGCAATTATAATACAGGTCTCTTAATCTATTCTTACCAGTCCAGATCCCTGCTACCCTTAATAAAGTGGCTTTCAAAAGGTTAATTTAAAAAATAGTACAAAATAGGAGAGTGACTAATTACATTATATAAAGACTTCCCTCAGAATTTCTTTAAAAATTAAACTCTCAGTGTAGTAATTTCATTATCAAATTGTATTTTCATTCCTTTTTAAAATTTTTATTTATTTTGAGATGGAGTCTCAATCTGTTGCCCAGGCTGGAGTGCAGTGGCATGATCTCAGCTCACTGCAACCTCTGCCTCCCAGGTTCAAGCAGTTCTCCTGTCCCAGCCTCCTGAGTAGCTGGCATTAAATGCATGCACCACCACGCCCGGCTCATTTTTGTATTTTTAGTAAAGTCGGGGTTTCACTGTGTTTGCCAGGCTGGTTCGAACTCTTGACCTCTCAGGTGATCCACCCACTTTGGCCTCCCAGAGTGCTGGGATTATAGGCATGAGTCACCACACGTGGCCCCTTTTTTTTATTTTTAAGAAAGTAGTCATTGTGCAGTAGGATGCCTTAGTAAGTTGCTTTTAGGATGCCTTGGGAAATGATAGTATGTATCTCTCAGAGAATGAACTGTGGGCATTTGGGGAAAGGATGGCTAGCAAATTGTTTTGGGAATTTCTCTGGACCAAGCTGAAATGCATAGGTTTTCCAGAATGACAAGGTATTTGTGTGGTATATGAGATTGCTTGCCTCTCCATTTCTTTTAGTTATTTTGATCACTGCATTTAGTTTATATTAATATCAGAGGAATACAATATTAGAGTTGGATGAATTGAATAGTGGGCCACTAAGTAAAAATGGCAGGTAGTCTGAGCTAAGAAGGATCATTTATTTCAGCCACTGCATTACCGTTGGTATAGAGTTGCTAAGGGGACTGATAATAATAGATTCTGTCATAAGGTGATCTTAGAATAATTATTAATTAATGTTACACAGTTCAGAACACTTGGCAAATGAAAAGTCTCTGCAGGTGAAATGCTGTGGAGGTGAAAGATTTTCAGAACTTTGATGGTGAACCATGATATCATCATCAAAGTTGGCTTGTTGGCTGAACCACTATGGTTTTATCAACTATTAGAAACTTTCACCTGTTTCAAATAGCTGATAAAACGATAGTGGTTCAGCCAACAAGATTTGAACTGAATCTTTTTGGGAAAGAGTTGTGGTGGACAAGAGTTAAAAGACATGGATTTAGTTCCTTACAAGTGTTCTCTAAAGTTGTTCATAGTATTATTCCTATTTGGCAGGCATACAAACACAGGCTCAATAGATTGATTAAGGTGTCTAAGATTATACAGTTAATGGTAGAATCTGATTTCCAACCCAAGTCTGAGTCCAAAGCCACAAAGTTGTATACCTTGCCACAGGATCATGGTTACCAAACTGTACCAAGGCACCCCAGAGCATTGTTGCCAACTCCATCTGATAGTTTACATTTTCAAATAGGATACAGTGATAGTTGAAATTTGCTGGTTGCCAGGTGAACTACTGCCTTACATAGTTCATGGTTTCAAGATTGTGCTACGTTTCTATAGATGACATGTCTTTGTGAAGCTGGTTTTTTAGTGGTTGCTGTGGTAAAATGCACAAAAATTAGTGTGCAGCTGGAAAGAAGATAGCAGAGTCCATTCTGATTCCAAGGTTTGAAAAGTTGTGCAGTGCCCAGCAGTAATACACATTTCATAAGTAATTATGGTTATTTTATTCTTTAAAAACAGTCTGGATGTTGGTTGAGATGTTACATTTCTGTTAAGTTTATTAAGGTAAATAAAGATAATGTGTCGGGATTCTCATAGTTTATACTGTGGTTGGCTAAATTACTTGTATGATACTAAGTTGAACAATGTTTTTTTTGTTTCATTTCTGCATTTAATTTTAATGATTTGAATTTTAACTCTTGAAGTCAAAATATCAAAGATAAAAGCATATGCCTTTTTAACTGGAATTGTAACTGTAACTTATTATGTTCTCTCTTATTGTTACTGTAACTAATCTGTGTGTGACAGTACATTTTTTAGATGCATTTGATAAAGTGGAAAGGTAACTGCTATAACTGGGGCCACGATGTGTTGATTTTAACAAAAAGTTTTACCAGGTGCATGTATTAGAGATTGCTTGAATTTATAGTGGTAGATACTGATAGGGCATACATATATTAATAGTAGTATTGCTGGAACCAGAGCCTGGTTAGGTTGAAATTTTTTAGTTGTGGCACTTCTGCCTTTGAAAAAGTAAATATTCTTTGGGGTATTTATTAGAGGGAAAGAAAGAAATAGATTTCATCTCTACTATTTTTGAGATGTCATAAGGTTAAGGAGGTTGTTGGCATTGCCCTAGGTAATGGAGACAGGGGAACTTGTCTGGCTAACATAAGCCAGTCTTTTAATGATTAAAAAGTTTGCCTTAAATTTAGATGTTTTGTTAAATTCTCAAACAGTCCTCACCAGTAAGAAGATAAAGTCAGCATTTATTAGTGAGTTCATTCATTTAATATGTATATTGAGCATCTGGTATGTACAGATGTAGCTATAGTAAATGTTGTGGGGGTTATTTCTAAAAAAAGTTCTGAGCATTTTAAAAGAATTTTGTAATCTAGTAAGAAGTAGCTAGACTGAGCTTGAAACTAATGACATTGTTCAAAGACTAATTTTTTTTTTCTGAGATTTTATCAAGTGGAGCAATAGTCTACTCCACTTGATAAAATTCTAGCCTACGGTTGTAGACTCAAATTATCTGAGAGTTTTATGGTGAGATGTATGACCACATGCAAATGAAAAAGTAAGAATAATTTAGTCCTAAAGTACATGTTAAACTGAATCATGTATTCAAGGAAGACATTATGTGTGTTGCTAGATTTAATAAAATTTTACTCTACCTGA